AGATCTGGTGCCCAGAACACTATATACATAATAAATAAATTAAAAAAAAAGAAAAGAAATAAATAAATAAAGAAAGAAAGAAAGAAAGAAAGAAAAGAAAAGATCAGTAACACCACTAGTACACCCATTCTTGGTTCTGCTCTTCAACACTATCCTAGAAGTTCCAGCGAAAACACTGGCAAGAAAAAGAAAAAGAGGACAACAAGATTAGAAAAGAAAAATTTACAGACACCATGACTGTTTTGCTATATAGCCCTAGCTAGCCTGGAACTCACAGAGATCCCCTTCCCTCTGCTTCTGAGTGCTAGAATTAAATACATGCACCACTATGCCCAGCTTAACATGATCCTCTCTGTGCAGGCCTGGCCATCCTAGAACTTGCTCTGCAGACCAGACTGGCCACTAACAGAGTTCCACCTGTCTCTGCCTCCTGAGTGCTGGGTTTAAAGGTGTGCGCCATCACCACCCAGCAACATGAACTTTTTCTTATTTATTTGTTTATTATGTATACAATATTCTGCCTGTATGCATGCCGGCATGCCAGAAGAGGGCACCAGATCTCATTATAGATGGTTGTGAGGGACCATGTGTTGCTTGCTGAAAATTGAACTCAAAACTTCTGGAAGAACGCCAGTGCTCTTAACCTCTGAGCCAGCTCTCCAGCCCACAACATAATCTTTTTCAAGATTTCAGGGGCTGTCCTCAAACTCATAGAAATCTGTTTGTCTCTGCCTCCAAGTACTGGGATTAAAGGCATGAACCACCACATCTGGCTCAACATGATCTTTTATATGTGAAAACTCCTAAAGAAATAACAAAAAACCTGAACAGTGGTAATAAACAAACCCAGCAAAGATGCAGAATACATGTTCAACACAAAAACCATGACTGTGACCTGGCCATGGTACATAATTTCAGGATTCAGAAGACTGAGGCAGAAGATTGCCACAATTCAAATTCACGGCCAGCCCCCCCCCACCATCAAACTACAGGACCTCACCCATTTTTAGGCTACATATCTCAGGTCACCTCAGTGGAAGGTAGAGACAGGTGGATCTCTGAGAGTTTGAAGTCAGCCTAGTCTATAACGTGAGTTCCAGGATAGTCAGGGCTGTTATACAGAGAAATATTGCCCAAAAACACAAAACAAAAACAAATAAAAAAAGAGAGAGTGGGGTGGCTGACTGTTGTCCATGCATGCATTTTGGGTGCCCCTACTGCCTTGTGATAAGGCCAATACATTTCCTATATCAGACTAAGGAGGTATACCAGACTTCCATAATGGGATCTTGGTTTTGGAACCCTGTTTTACCTAATGTACTGTTGGGGATTGTGGACCCCCAGACCCTGAATTTCCTGTAAACAACTTGTTTTCCTGTGTTTGCAGCTGCTTTGAGCATGAGACAGGGAAGTGGTTTCTGGTGGGCTTGCAGCTGACTACCCCTCTCCCCCCAGAGCTAGGGTGTGGCCATTAGACATCAATCAACCTCTACTAAAACCAATAGAGCTCTCAAGTTATTGTTCTTTCTAGCATTCACAAAGACTGGCTTTTAGAACAAAAATGTATGTTTAATCAGGATTTATGTAAAAGTGTTTGGTTTTTCCCACTTTTTAATCTAAATGTTACACAAAAGTTAAATGTACCAGACTGGTATAACTGACCTCAGTATTCAATAATGCCTAAAGGCCTATATTAATGTCAATAGAGGGACAATTCTCAAAGTCAGCTAGGTCCCAGGAGACTATGGGACATCTCTTAAAGGGTCCTGCAGCCCATAGAGTCTCCTGTCCTCTTCATCAGAGAGGCCATGGGAACGTCACAGGGCCTCTAAAGAAGGGAACCAGAGAGGAAAACACCCTCAAGGCTTCCACAGAGAAGCTACACATCTTTACACAGATGCACCAATGCAAAGAAATAAATCATAAAAACTACAATAACTAAAAATATCAGATTTAATTTTAAAACAAAAAACCTATAGTAATCATGAGAGCTCAGAATATAACTCAATGGTGAAACTTGCCTCGTTGGCTGAAACCCTCCACACTAAGTGTAAAGGGCAGAGGTCAATGTCAGGCATCCTCCTCTTTGCTCTTCACCTTGAATGAGACAGGGTCTCTCACTGATCTTGGGAGCTTCACGATTTAGCCAGACTGGGTGGCTGGCAAGCTCCAGGGATCATTCTGTCTCTGCCTTCCCAGCGCTAGGGCTACAGGTGCATGTCTGTCACCGCACCCAGCTTTTTATGTGGGTGCTTGTGATTGAACTCTTGTTCTCACACTTGTGTAGCATGTGCTTACTGACAATCTCCCTAGCCCATTTTATGATTTTTCCCCTTAAATTTAAATTTGAAAGAGAATGTGTGCCACATGTACCTGGGTACCTGGAAGCTAGAGGAGAATGCTGGGTCCCCTGGAGTTACAGATGTGGTGAGCTATCTGACGTGGGTTCTGTGAAGAGAACTCAGGACCATACAGGAACAGCCAGTGCTCTTAAACTCTGAGCCAGCTCTCAAAACTCTCATTTTGTGTTTTTTGAAAGAGTCTCACTATACAGCCCAAGTTGACCTCAAACTTGCTTTCCTGATTTGTTTTCTGAATCCTGGGACTAAGGCTTTTCCTTGCTAATTGATCTTTGACAAGGGTACCAAGTCTGTTCAAAGGACAGACTTCATCAAATGATGCTGGGACAATATAGATCTCCATATATCAAAAGAATGAGGTGGGATACATATACAGAAATATGAGCTTAAAAAGTGGATCAAAGACAACTAAAACTTAGAGCCAGCAAGATGGTTCAGAGGGTAACGGTGATTGCTGCCAAACTTGATGATCTGAGTTCGCTTCCTGAAAAGCACATGGTAAAAGAGAGAACTGACTCCCACAAGAGTTCCTCTGACCACTATACACATGCTGTGACACGTGCACGACACAGTACATGAATGGATAAACGTTTAAACTGTGAGGCTCTGAAGGAAAAAGATATGTACATACATTTTTCTGACAATGGATTTGATAATGACATTAAAAGTGAGTTAGGCCATAGTTCAGGATAGAACAGTTGCCATGCAAGGTTTTGAGTTTGTTGCACAGTCAAAGTTCTCCAAAAAAGATAACCAAATGGCCAACAAATACAAGAAAAGTAAGTTAGTATCATTGGTCAATAAGTCATTATGAAATTGTAAATTGAAAACACAGTATCTTTCACACCTGTAAGGATGGTGATAAAGTAAAAACAAGAAAAGCAAGTATTTTTTTTCTTTTTTTTTTTTGTTTTCTTGAGGCAGGGTTTCTCTGTATAACAGTCCTGGCTGTTCTAAATTCACTTTGTAGACCAGGCTCGCCTCAAACTCACTGAGATCCACATGCGTCTGTCTTCTGAGTACTGGGATTAAAGGCGTGCATCACCACCATCTAGCAAAGCAAGTGGAAAAGTTTGGTGCTTTCTGAACAAACTAAAGGTAGCACCACATACCCCAACAATCCCGCTCTAGGACTCCCATAGTTCAAGAGAAGAGCATTACGTGCTTTAGGTTGAGGGAGCAGTGAAGACAGAGATTTATTTGGGGGCAGAATGAGGAAGTTAGCTGATTCCCTTAGATAAGCTGTTTGTCTGTTGTCTCTTTTTTGCCACTACTGGGTGTCTGGAATTGGGCCAGATGCCTTCTGCAATCCTCAAATACCTGCTTCCTGGAACTTTGAGGTAAGTTTCAAGGCCTTGGCTATGCCAGGGTGAGGGGTAGGGAGGTGGGTGTAGGGGGTGAAATTCATGTTCAGTTTGGAGGAAATGTCTCACAACAAAGCTTAGGTGTGTCAAGTTTAGGCATTATACTCTCTAGTTCCAGAAGGTGCGTTTGTCTCTTTAAAGGTGTGCCGTTGTTTGCTCTGTCATGCTCACCACCATTAACCTGCTCTGTTGTTACTGAAAGGAGAAGTATTGGCTCAGGACCCCCAAGAGCCATGCTGGCCATGCTCGAGCTGGCCAGAGTCCCTTCAGTTCTGTTTTTGTTAGTGGGGGGTTGGATTTTCTTCTTCTTCCTTTTTCCTGACCGCCTTTCTTTCTCTACTCCCCCCACATAATCTGCCAGCTGGAGATGAGAAGGAAGACTGTCTTCACAGATTACCAGCTTCTGGAATAAAGCACTGGTTTAAAGATTCAGTGCCTGGGGAGAGATGGCTCAGTGGTTAAGAGCACCGACTCTTCTTCCAGAGGTCCTGAGTTCAATTCCCAGCAACCACATGGTGGCTCACAACCATCTATAATGAGATCTGGTGCCCTCTCTTCTGGGGTGCAGGTACACATGCAGGCAGAATGCTGTATACATAATAAATAAATCTTAAAAAAAAAAAAAAAGATTTAGTGCTTGTGTACTCATGGGTATCTGCAAAGCAACAGCAAGCTCTGCTATTCCAGATTCAACCCTGCCCTCTTCTGGCATGCAGGGAGAACACTATATACATAATAAATAAATAAATAAAACTTAATTTTAAAAGGAGGAGGAGAAGGAGGAGGGGTATGCAGCAGCAGCAGCTTGGCCTACATAGTTAGTTCCAGAACAACCAGGGCTACACTACCTGTCTGGAAAAACAAAACAAAACAAAGAAAGGAAAGGAAAGAGACAAAGACAGAGAGAGATAGAGAGAAAAGTATCCCAGGCCTAGTAGGGAGAACAATGTGGGGGAAAGAAATCTTAAAATAAACATTTAAGGGGCTGGAGAGATTGCTCAATGGTTAAGGGCACTTGTTGCTCTTCCAGAGTTACCTATGTTTAATTCCTACTGGCTCACAACCATTTGTACTTTCAGTTCTAGGGGATCTGATGCCCACTTCTGGCCTCCATGGCATACATATGAAACACATGTATGGCTCCATGAGCATACATGTGAAACAAGGCATACATGCAGTCAACCCTCCTCCCCCCCCCAAAAAAAAAAGAAAAAAAGAAAAGACATTTAAACAGTAGTTAGGCTGGACGTCAACTGTAACCCAGTGCTTGGAAGACAGAGGCAAACAGATCTGTTTGTTCAAGGCCAGCCTGGTCTACTTAGCCAGGGTCACACAGTGAGACCCTATCTCAAAAGAAGAGAAAAAATTACTACTCAACGCTTTTTTAACTATTCGACACTCTGAAGAGGTGAAGTTGGGGGCCAGTGTCCGCCCAACCTTGGCTCCCCTCTGTTTCAGAACTGGAGGCAGAAGTCTAGAGATCCCGCTATTTACAAAGAGAAGGAATGGCTGTAGAAGGCCCTCCAACTGAGACATAACGCAACAGTTCTTGGGGTTCTGTCTTTCATCTTCCGAGACAGTCCTATCTCTGTGTATCTTGGAATCAATCTAAAGGAGTAGATTTCCCCTCTAGCTCCCAAAGCTTAATATTATCACTGCCACCGAGACCTAAAATCACTGGGATCGTAGAATGCATAGGAACGATAAATAAAGTTGGGACGCTAAGTAAAAGGAGTTTGGTACGGGTTTCCAACTCAACTGAACTTCAGCCTCACCAAGAGAGAACGCGAAAATACATGTTTGCTCACAATCGCTTCAGACCCACAGAAGACCCATCGTCCATATCTATTTGAGACGATCAGACAGAGACAACGGGCAAAGATCTATTAAACACCGTTAAAGGGCTACATTTAAAGCGGCCTGAAGTCCGAGGGGAGCCCGAGGCGTGAGGACGGGTGGGAGGGGGTCCCGGCCCGGCTATAGGCGGAGTCGCTTTCGCCTCCGCTTCGGGTACCCGGCGCCACTTTGTGGGCGTTCCTCAAGGAAGTCGAACCGAAAAGCTCCTTACCCGCCGCATGCGACCATTGGACAGCAAGTCGGCGATCCCCTTGGCTGCGTCGTTTTTCTCAGCCACACAGAGAACTTTTCGTACTCCTCGGAAGGCCACTTCCATGGCAGCGCGGGACAAGGCACGGCCTCCAGGCCGTCGCTGCCACCGGAACGCTAAGAGGGTGATTGGGAAGATCATTCCCTAGGCCCTGCGCCAGCAGCAACTCCACGGTGCCCCGTACATGTTGGGGAACCCAGAGGAGATGCCACGAGGCACACCTCCGAGAGTCACTTTAACAGTGCACCTTTTCCAGGCCACTGGCTGCCTCAGCCTGGAACCCACGCCTCAGAGATCCGCTTAAACTCGCGCTCACTGACAACTTCCGGTAACCGAGCTGCCTCAAACTACAACTCCCAGAATGCTTCATGCCCCGGCACGCTCACCCAACACCGTTTCTCCTCCTCCGTCCCACCTCACTGTATTCTATTTTCCCTTTCTTTAGGACAGTACTTGGTTAATGGGACTTGTCCTCTGGAGGGACTGATTGACAGCGCCTCTTAAAAGGCGCCACTTATTCGGAAGTTAGTGTGAGCGTTTCCGGGTCACGCGACGCTGATGCTTGGGAGTCATGTGATACCAAGATGGTGGTGCCGCGGTAGCTTCACTGGGACAGTGCAGTCCTAGGAGCCGCCAACAGTTTCTGCTCTTAGGTTTTGGGGAGGCCCATTTAGCTGACTCTGCGGCCGTCCGTGACTAGTATTAAGGACCTGATCAGAGCTGGGACTGTTGATGTCACTGGTAGGTTCCGGGGAGTGTTAGTGATTTCGGTTCCAGAAGCCTGTGACAGCCGGGGGGAAAAGCGAGAGAGTGGTTAGTTTAGCCTCCTCCGTCATCTGCGCTTGCAGCTTTGGAGTTCATGAGGCTTCCCAGGGTTTCCCAGGTCCCAAACCTTGATAATCTTCGGGAATTTGAATTATTGGGTGTGTGAGAGGCATTTTAGGACCCCTGAAAGTCCAAAGAAGGCCTAAGAACTTCGCTTCCTCATCCAGAGGCCGGACTTCCCCGCCGACTAACCCCGCATTATTTTCCATTTCCTCTCAATGTTCTCTCCGTATTTCAGGAAATATGATCAGCGCCCCTGATGTGGTGGCCTTCACCAAGGAAGACGAGTATGAGGAAGAACCTTACAATGAGCCCGCCTTGCCGGAGGAGTACTCAGTACCTCTCTTCCCCTATGCCAGCCAGGGGGCTAACCCCTGGTCTAAACTGTCCGGGGCCAAGTTCTCCAGGGACTTCATCCTTATTTCCGAGTTCTCTGAACAGGTGGGACCTCAGCCCTTGCTGACCATCCCCAATGACGCCAAAGTTTTTGGCACTTTTGATCTCAATTACTTCTCCTTGCGGATCATGTCAGTGGATTACCAGGCTTCGTTCGTTGGTCATCCTCCTGGTTCTGCCTACCCCAAGTTGAACTTTGTGGAGGACTCCAAAGTGGTGCTGGGAGACTCTAAGGAAGGGGCCTTTGCATATGTGCACCACCTCACCTTGTATGACCTGGAGGCCCGTGGCTTTGTGAGACCCTTTTGTATGGCTTATATCTCTGCGGACCAGCATAAAATCATGCAGCAATTCCAGGAGCTTTCGGCTGAATTTTCCAAAGCATCCGAGTGCTTGAAGATGGGTAACAGGAAGGCATTTGCTGGGGAACTTGAAAAAAAGCTGAAAGACTTGGATTATACGAGGACTGTGCTGCACACAGAAACTGAGATCCAAAAGAAAGCCAATGACAAAGGTTTTTATACATCTCAGGCAATTGAGAAAGCCAATGAACTGGCCAATGTGGAGAAGTCCATCATTGAGCATCAAGATTTGCTGAGGCAGATCCGCTCGTACCCTCGCCAGAAGATGAAGATACCTGCTTTGCATCCTGGCGATACGGAGCACACCCAAGACCAGGCTGCCCAGGTCTCCACTACCTCCAACCCCGAGGAGTCAGCTAATGCAGACCTTTATACGTGCAGACCGGCTTACACCCCGAAACTCATCAAAGCAAAGTCCACCAAGTGTTTTGACAAGAAGCTGAAGACCTTGGAGGAACTCTGTGACACTGAATATTTCACTCAGACCTTGGCCCAGCTTAGCCACATTGAACACATGTTCCGGGGAGACCTATGCTACCTCCTGACCAATCAGATTGACAGAGCACTTCGAAAACAACAGCACATAACAAATTTCCTCTTTGAAGACTTTATGGAGGTTGATGACAGGATGGAGAAACAAGAGAATGTGCCCTCTAGGCCCAGTCAGGACAAGCTGCCTTCCAGGCCTGTGGAAGAATGTCCCATTCCTAAAGTGTTAATTAGTGTTGGTTCGTACAAGTCCAGTGTGGAGTCTGTTTTGATCAAGATGGAGCAGGAACTTGGAGATGAAGAATACAAGGAAGTGGCAGCAGCAGAGTCAAGCAATTTTGACCCCCAAGAAAACCTGGACTACCTGGATATGGATATGAAAGGGAGCATCAGCAGTGGGGAAAGCATCGAGGTTCTGGGCACTGAGAAGTCATCTTCTGTGCTGTCTAAATCTGACAGCCAGGCCAGCCTCACGGTACCATTGAGCCCCCATGTAGTCCGTAGCAAGGCAGTCAGCCACAGGACGATCAGTGAGGACAGTATTGAAGTCTTAAGCACCTGCCCATCTGAGGCCCTCATTCCTGATGACTTTAAGGCCAGCTACCCAAGTGCCATTAATGAGGAAGAAACCTATGCAGATAGTGAGGGGGCCATCCATTTCGAGGCAAGTGTCTGCCCACCAGAACTGGGTGAGACTCAGGAGGGCAGCTTGGAAAATACCCCATCCCAAATAGACTCCAGCTGCTCTATTGGAAAGGCGAGTGAAGGTCAGCTGGTTCCTCTTCCCACCCCGGCTGACACTCTTTCTGATGAGGATGGTGTGGTGAGCATCCCCCCACAGAGCTCCAGGCAGAAGGACCAGGGGTTCCATGTGGATGTCGAGATGGAAAACACTGACCCTTCTCCCCGAGACAACAGCTGTGAAATATTCCCAGCTTATGAGCTGGATCCAAGCTGCCTTCTGGCTAGCCGAGATGTTAGTAAGACAAGCCTGGATAACTACTCGGACACCGCAAGCTACATGAGCAGTGTGGCTTCTACCAGCTCAGACAGAACCCTCTCTGCTCACTCTGCTGGCCTATCCTCTGAGAGACACAAAAAGAGAGCTGGCCAGAATGCCTTAAAATTCATCCGCCAATACCCCTTCGCCCACCCAGCCATCTACTCCCTGCTTAGTGGGAGGACGCTTGTGGTCCTGGGCGAAGACGAAACCATAGTCAGGAAGCTTGTCACCGCACTGTCTATCTTTGTTCCCAGCTATGGCTACTATGCCAAGCCAGTCAAGCACTGGATTTCTTCCCCTTTGCATATTATGGATTTTCAGAAGTGGAAGCTTATTGGCCTACAGAGGTAACTGGTTTCAGGTGGTGGGGAAGAACACTAGACATTAAGAGATGAAGCAGGTTGTTCTGTGGACCCCAGGAAAGGGAAGCTTGCTTTTTGGACAATGGATAACCAACTCACTATTCTTACCTTTGGCAAATTACTCTTGATTTTGTTGCCTTATCTGTCATGGAGAGGGGTTTCACAGTTGCTAAGTGATTGCCAGTGCTGGGGGCTCCTTCCCACTTTCATGTCAGACAATTTGGGAGAATTATTCTTTGTGTATGTTTGGTGCTAGTGATAGAACCCAGGGCCTGTGTATGCTAGGCAGATATACTACTTCTGAATTATATTCCCATCCCCTGGGAGAGTTTTAAATCGTGAAATCCCAATCAGATTCTGAATCAGTTGGTCTGTCTGAAATAAGAGCTGGAGTCTTGCTTCAGTGAAATCAGAGAGTGAGTGGACTTGAAGATGCTATGTTCGTTCTGACTGCAGCTCACATTGGCATAAAGAATGTCACTGTGGGAGATGTAGAACTCCAGTAGCTTGTACTTTGCTGCTGTATTTGCTACAGCAGTGAGCAATCACAAGAGCTTGTCTTTTCACTGTTTGAAGTTATGGTGTTACCTTGCTGTGGCTCATTCATACAAGTGTTTAGGCAGGTCAACTTTCTTGCCTGTGTTCCAAGAAAATTGAATGGTCATTTGCAAAGTATTATGAGGGTAGTGAAGAGCCAGCCTCTGCCCAGTGCCTGAATTCCAAGGTAATCCAGCCATGTTGACTCTGGCCCCCATCCTGCCACCATGCCACCAGCTTAACTTCTCCGAGGCTTTTGCCTTCACTGTAGTCAGCCGGTAAAGCCTGTCTTACGATACAGGTGCCTATCATTGACTTGTCTCTACAAGTGTGCATTCTAAAATGAAGGCAACAGGCAGGGCACATGCTGTAGCATATGAGATACAGCGTATCCTACTGAGGGGGGCACAGATGTTGGGACACCCCTATACGAGTGTCAGTGCCTACACAGTGCTCCAAGGGACGATTTCCCCGGACAGGAGCCAGAAGTGACATGGCGATGGGAGGGTCTCGGCTAAGCCAGAGAGGCCCTGGGAAGTGGCCTCTTCTCCTAGCAGAGACAATGCCTTTCTTCTGAGCAGACTCACTATTGCAGTTGAAAGGGAACTGGCATCTTCCTGAAACCATGAGGCTGGGACACCTGAGGTGAGAGCTGTCAGAGAAGGATGTGATGGCAGCGGGAGCGGCAGGGTCTAGGTCAGTGCTGGTGCTGCCCCCGCACTGTGGTGGATCCAGACACCTGAGTTACATTGTGTGCCTCTGCTCCCAGTGCTACCTTCCAGAGCTGGAAAGGGGCCCGGATTGGGGGGGGATGTCATTTTAGAACAGTTCCTGGCCTTAGTAACCAGTTAGCTACGTAGAGGCCAGTCTAGACTGTAGTAACAAGACATTGGCTTTAAGAACAAAAGGGATGCAGAGTGAGAGCTTTTGTGAAGTGGCACTCTTGTCCACAGAGCCGTGAGCTACCGCAGGGCTATTTCTGTGAGCAGGGTTTGTCTGAGTCCTCCAGTCTTGGATTCACCTGGAACTGTTCAAGAAGCTTTCAAAGAATGTCACCTTGAAGCCCGGCGGTGGTGGCGCACGCCTTTGATCCCAGCACTTGGGAGGCAGAGGCAGGTAGATCTCTGTGAGTTCGAGAACAGCCTGGTCTACAAGAGCTAGTTCCAGGACAGGCTCCAAAACCACAGAGAAACCCTGTCTCGAAAAAACAAAAAAAAAAAAAAAAAAAGAAAAAAAAAAAAAAAAAAAAAAAAAGAAAAGAAAAGAAAAAAAAAAGAATGTCACCTTGAACCACCAGCTTCCCTGGCTCGATTCTTTTTCCCCACA